TGTAATGTCCGGCTTGGGGGCCGTGGGCGTAAAAGGAGTCCTCTGGAAGGAGACCAGAGGGCTTCTTGTAGGCCTCGGCGGTTGGGTTCTTCCGGGCTCAGCGGGTGTGAACCTAGATGAGCTCAGACGAGCGGGTCCTCGGGAGCTCGACTCGCCGCTCTTGGACGGGAAGCTTAGCTCGTTGTTCCGGCGTCACTCCTGATCGAAGGCGGTGAGTTCTCGGACCATAGTGTGGTAGTCTCCCTTCCATTGACTTTTGATAACCGCTACGCGGCTATGGAATTGAGGGGTCAACTTGTTCCACATGTACCGAAACCATTCCGACTCTGTGACCTGTCCCGTAATAGCTGCACTTTGGAAGCGAGCTTTGAACTCTGAGAAAGTCTCGTTGGTATGTCCTTTCTCTCCCATTTGGAGGTCGTCGAAGAGGTTCCGGGCCTGTTCCGTTTCGTTGCCAGTGAGGTAATATGAACCCAACAGGTCCATCATCTCGTCGGCACTCCGAAACCCATGTGTCGCGGATAGGTATTGGGGTTCGAGGTATTTCTTTGCCAGGCCAGTCGTAGTCCCCCATATCAACGCTCTTCTCGAGACGTCGGTAGGGTAGTGATCCTCATTGACTACGAGGCGGTCCCGAATGGACGCGCTCCATTGCATAAAGGTATGTTCTATCCCATCGCTGAGCGGCGTAATCTTCTCAGAGATGGTGGATTTCTTGTAGCGATTCGGAGGGTCTTCGGAATACATCCTCGGAATCGATGGAGAACGAGTGTTTCGAAGAGGCGGCAACTGAACTGTCTCGGGGGTGTTTCGCATAGGGGAAGTTCGTCGCTCCTCAACTTCGACGGTGTCCACCTGTGGCGTGGACGGTATTCTGGTCTGGGTTGCCGCTAGGTTGGCTATCATTTCCTTGATCTCTTGCATCTGGATCTCGAGGTTTGCCATTCGATCTGGTATGTCATCGGTGGGTGCAGCGGTCGTAGCTGCAGCGGTGGTTTGTCTCGTTGACATTCGTGACGGTTGACCATCATTGTCTTGGGGGATGTTTGAGGTCATTTTCCTCATATTGGTTCGGGAGTGTATCGGTGTCGATACGAAAGAGTTTGACTTCCGGTAGCTCGTAGCTATCAACACTCTTGTTCACAATTGCCTCTGTGCTTGAGGGGGTTCTTAAGGATCTCGTATCCTATTCGGCGCCAACGCGTCGGCGACTTTACCAGCTTGCTCTGCAGGATCAAACCCTGATCCACTGGTTGTCCGTGAGTTCTCTGGGGTCACGGCTATTTGAAGTCGTCAGGTCTCTACTTCGAAATGTCACTGAGTCGCGGTCGGTGGTGTTTCGACAGTTCTCCTGAGTCGTTCCGTTGTGGGATATTATTTAAGTACGGCCGTCCCTGGCAGGCGTGATCTTTTTTGTATAATGTAAGGACACAGGGAATACGGCTCTCCGTAGGTGCATATGGGAGTGCGAGTCGGAGGTGATGCTGTATTCTATCCTATAGGTCTACTACGAAGGATACAAAAAAGATGAAGGTGTCACCCTGTATGGCTGTTCCCTTAAAATACCCGAAACTGCTCCGACTCAGCTAGCTCCCTGTTTGCCTAAGGCTTCCTTACGTTATGTGCCTAAGGCTGTCAGTCGCGACTGACCCGTAACGGCCCCGAGTCTCGATGGCGCCACGTGACGGCCGTAACTACCCTGAGTAAGGAGGCATCCTTACAACTTGTAGGTTTGAGGAGGAGATTTCCAAGTTTGCTCTTGAGTTTGATAGCAAACTGAGTGCAATGAATGTCAGTATGACATCACTCTCTTTGACTCGATATAAGAACCCTTCGGAATGCATCAGAAAAATTCAGAATCTCATGGAAACTTAAAGAAGAATTAAGTCAACTTCGGACACCCTCGGAAATTCATAGAAAATACAAGTTCTAGCAACTCAACTTCGAACTTCAATAATCCCTACTTCGATACTTCGCTCATCTCAGACTCAAGATTACATAGACCTCACTTACTTCGGTCCTTGTGAGGGGCTCTTGTCATGACACTCCTTCGATATTTGTGTCATGACCCTTCGATTCGCTTTAGTCTCTAGTACTTATTTCACTATGTCATTCACTTCACCTGCTTCGCTCACTTCGCTTCACTTGCTGACCTAGATCAGCCCAAAATGACTACTGGCTTAGGCTCTCTTGTTATTGGCTCGCTTCACTAGGGCTCACTTAGCTAGGGTTCGGTTAATTAGTGCCTTCACTTATTTGGCACTAGGGTTTTTTACTGTTATATAAGCACTTATTGCTCATGTCTCTTATTAATCTTTAGCTAGCAAATTATACACTACTTGGCCTTCTTGCAATTCCTCCTGCTTCGACTTACTTTGCATTCCCTTACTTCGAGTCGAACCACTTGGCCAACCTGTTAGTCTCACCACTTTGTCATACTGACATTCGTTGCACTCAGTTTGCTATCAAACTCAAGAGCAAACTTGGAAATCTCCTCCTCAAACCTACAAGTCACTATACATATTTTGGCTTGTCACACCAACAACAAGAGCAATACTACTCAACGATTGCTACAACCCTCTACGATTCATTACATGGCATTGCTCCTTAGTTACTGGGCCGATATGACCACATAGCATATCTCTACAACCCTCTATGATTCATTACATGACATCACTCCTTAGTTACTGGGCTAATACTACACATGACATATCTCTACCAACTAGAGGCCTAGGAACATGAACGATAGCTCCAAAAGCTTCTACAACCATCTATGATTCATTACACGTCATCGCTCCTTAGTTACCCACAAGATTGGTTAAGTTATGACATAATCTGTCTATAGGGGTACTCTGACCTTGGACCTCCTTTCACTTCCTATAGGCTAGGAACCTAGGAGATGGAGTTGCAAAGAATGTGTTTTCTGGATGGTCTAACTATCGTATTTCAGGAGAAGAGCTACTGTTATATGCATGATTGTATTGTTCCAGGCTCTTCCAGAAATCTCCAAGAAGACAAAGACCAAAGACCTGTCACAGCTCACCACTGAACAAAGCCAGCGAAAGTGAGAGAAGCGTGAGAGAAGCTTCTCAAAAACAACAGATGGTTCTATGGGATTCTCTTACGTCGACTACAGTTACCAAGCCTGGTTAGTCATGGAAAGTCTTGGAAAATGAGAGAACTACACTCCTTTAGCATAAATAGGATTGCCCTTTCCTTAAGAAAGGGCAAGCAGACAATACAGTAAATCGACTATCACATACTTCCACGTCTTTTCCAAGCTTCCAAGCATTGATCTTGTTACTCCTTGTTTCTGAAAAGTCAGTGAGGTGCTAACCTCTGACTTATCCCTGAGTTCTAAGACTCAACATTTGTTACAACTTGTCTATACCACTCCACTACATCATACACCTGATTGCTGCATTGTGGAATAGTCTAAGCTACGACCCTTTGGCTCTGTTTCCTAAGACAGTGTGTTGTCTTAGTAAAATCATCCCTTCCTTGGGTGGCTAGATTCTCACATCTGGTGCACCCACCATTACACACTTGACCCCTGTGGTATAAAGTATATGCTTTGGAGCCTGAACTACTATAACTTGTCCTACTGCTTCGAGTATCGAAGTCTTCACATTATACTTCAGATATTTCTGCAGACTCGAAGGTCAGCCTCAGTTCGAACTGCCCTTACATACAGGCAAACTTACATCTTGTATGAGAATAGCAGATTCCTAGCTAATTGGGTTATTACTATTACTGAAAATGGCTGGACTACAAACGAGAGAGGCATGGATTGGATTTAGCATTTTGAGAAGCATACAAAGACATGGAGTGTTAGTGGTTATCGCTTGTTAGTCCTTAATGGCCATGAGAGCCACCACTTAGATGAGTTTGAGGAGTATTGCAAAGAACACAACATTATAACTCTCTGTATGCCTGCTCATTCTTCTCATCTACTCTAGCCACTTAATATTGGCTGTTTTAGCCTATTAAAAGGTGCTTATAGTCAGCAAATTAAAGATATAATACAAGCTCATATTACTCATATTACAAAGGATGACTTCTTTCCTGCCTTTCACGCTGCATTCAACATTGCAATGACAGAAAGCAATATTCGAGGAGGGTTCCAAGGTGCCGGACTTCTTATATTAAACTCTAAGAGTGTGATCTCTGCACTTGATCTCAAGTTAAAGACACCAACGCCTCTAAGCTCCTAAGCTCCCGCCTAGGTACAGCTCAACCTTAGGTTTCCCAAACACCAAATAACCCAATTGAAGCCTCATCACACTCTACCTTTATTAAAAACCGAATTGCACATCATCAAAACAGCTCTCTAACCTCAATTTACGCAGCTGTTGACCAGTTTACAAAGGGTGCATCGCAAATAATGCATCAACTAGCATTGTTAAAAGCAGAGAACCAGAACCTCTAACAGGCAAATGAAGTGCTAAGCAAGCGGAGGAAGGCAAGAAAAACACGTCTACAGCAAGGAGGATCACTTAGCCAACAGGAGGCACAGGAGCTACAGGACGAGAGGGACGTTGTACAGCAAGTAGAGTAAGAAACAAAGGCAAGTGGTAGTCGGAAGCCAAGGGAAGAAACACGCCTACGGTGTTGTGGCAACTGTAGTCAGGTCAGTCACAATGCGCGGACGTGTCAGATTGTAGCAGAGACCTCTTCGGAAGAGGATCCCGAAGAGCTTTAATTGATTTTCATCGTTGTCATAGAATTATGTACTGTTGTGTTGGTAGAGTATGATAAAGTGCGTCGCTCGCTTGGATGCGTCGTTATACATGTACATTAGTTTTATGATATCATTATATAAAGACGCCTCGCTGAAGCGCAAATACTAACATAAAGAACGGCAAGGAAAAATGAGAGACGTGGTATATTGATGCGTGACTCCGTCCCACCCAGCAGAAAATATAAACTGAACGCACACAGTCCAAATAAACTCCAGGTAGCCCCCTCTGTGCTCCTCTATCCCATTTCATATGACATTATCAAAAGATGTCCTCTCGCTCAATCGAACCCCCCCTCCCTGCAGTATGCACCTCATACGTCCTCTCGATCCTCACACCCCTGGGGCTAATAGATCCACTCATGCGGTCCATCCCGTACGCTCCACCCCTATTAAGCGTCCCATCGTCCCCCAGCTCCTCCTCGCTCGTGCGGCTGAGGTGCTCCGCCGGTACGCTAGCCTTGCGGATCGATCGCGGGAGATGGGCCGACGAGGACTTGTAGTCGGAGCCCATGTTGAAGCTGGCGAATTTGGGGGTGCTGCCGTGGGGGCGCACGGGCTCGTCGCCGTCGATGGCGGCGGCGGCCCAGACGGAGGAGAGGGGGAGCAGGATGGCGACTAGGCAGATTGCTAGGGTGCCTGCTTCGTAGAAGGTTTCTTCGGGGAAGAATTCGAGGACTGTGAAGAGGGCTGGGTGGGGGTTAGCTGGTTTCTTTCTGAAAGAGGTGTGAGATTGGTGAGACTCACAAGGGATAAGCATAGTGCATCCAGCCATGATTGTGATTATTTGCATTGGACCCCACTGCTTGAGGCCCATCTTCTTCCTCTGATACAACGTCCAGCCCAACTTGATGACGAAAATGGTGCAGAAGAACCATATTGAGGCCGTCTCACTGATCAGACTTGCTCCGCTGAACATCAGCGAGTCGGACTTCACTGTAGCGCCGAGGATTCCTTCGATATTACGGATGGTAAGCCCGAAGCGGAAGCTGATCGCGAGAAGCGATACAACCATCGATAAGGCGGTGACAGGCCAACGGATGTGACTGCTCATAGACTTGCATACCACGTTTGTCTGAAGGACTAGCGAAGCCTCGATCGTTATGAGTAGGAAGAGGGTGAGTAGGGTGGCGGCAACGCTGTTAGCGTATGCGGATGCTGGAACGGTAGAGTAGTCGAAGGAAAGATAGCGGTAGATTTCTGTCCATGGGCCAATGTAGTATAAGATTTGAAGCAGGGAGCGGAGACACGAGATGATGAGGGAGAGGACGTTCAGGACGAAGATTGGAGACTTGCGCTTCGACACTCTCGTTGTGAGCAAGACCACCAGGAACATGATCAGTGAGGCGCCGAGTTGGCATCCGTATACGACGCATATTTCATTATTTTGCCTATTGAATAGGTTGATCATCGGGAGGGTTGCAACCACTGGAGTACCATCTGGTGTATATATTGTGATGTTCTGCCTGGTGGGGTCAAAGTCTGCGGGGAGATGGACGTTGGCGGTCGACATCCTAGACGATGAGGCTGAGAGCCCCGGACTTTCATATATGACAGTGGTAGTCTGAAGAGTGCGCCTATGGATGGAGGCTTTCGATGCTTCGTGTTTGGGAGTGGTATTGAATTGGAGAGAGGTTGAATTCGACGGCGGCGGATGGAGATAGATATACTCTTTCAAAATCAAATCTCTTCACTGTCGAAGACAATGTCTCCCTCGATATCCAGTCCAGCGGTCAAAGAGAGCTTGGTGAATAATATGAAGCCTTAAACAATCATCTCAGGGCCTCACAACATGAGATAAAAAGGGGTAATGGGATCTGGAACATGGCAAAATATATCCATATATCAGGAGCAATGTCCCAGTTATGTTTCTCCGGATATATATCATGGCCGCACAGATATATGTTGTAAATAGATGACGAGGGATCGATCGCATTGCCGGCGCTATCTCGAGAACAATAGTAAGAAGCTATCCCGGCGATGCTGCCAGGTCGCTTAATCCTTACTATTGTTCTCACGCCCCTGTGCATATCTAAATCGGGTCCAGCAATGAAAACGCAGGAAAAGCAAGACCTAAGATTTAAGAGCCGGATCTTTTGCAGTTTAGGGACGAGACATGAATGGATTTTGACTTGGGCGGATTGACAGGTTATATATTTGCTGAGGCTGGTGGGATGTGATTATGAGGCAGCTGAGCTGGTCCAACTCGGACACAGCCTTGCTATTGTTGTTTTGGACTTGAGAAAAGTATACCGAATACCTGAGAAACTGATTTTATGAGATCGCTGTTTTCATAGATATCTTGAAGCCGTCAAAGAGAGTATGTGAGTCCTCTGACGTTAACATGGAAAGGTCGTCGGCGGCGATGGGACAAATACCATCGTGATCACGTGGTTATAGACCGATAATGGCTCCCTCTTGCTGTTTTTGAGAAGCCCAGCCTTGCCATATAGACACAACAATTTTGTTACATTTTTCCATACCTTGGAGTAGCACAAACAATCATCTGCCATCCTATTATGCTTTTGCGTGGTTATCTTGAAATGTGTTTATGTGGATCCCATGTTAAGTAAGCGGTTCACGGTTCACGACTTTTGGTGTACATAGGTGAGGTCGCCATGAACACGTCGGTCTTGTAAGGCAGACATTTACACGGCTCAAATGTAGCCCTCTCAAGGCAATGCATGTTCGTTATTCTATTCACACCGTATGCTTTAGCTTTGATGCTCGCATGGCACGTCCCCTGTCAAATTGTTGTATTGTCTGAGTTGCAATGGCCGCATCTCTGTTAACAGGCTATGATCGACGACCAGAGATAAGCAGTTTGCTGCAATACTCGCGCGGCTCGAAGCATTGATATTGTTCTCGAGAGTTCTCTCGTTGGGGCTTGGGGGTGCAAGTGCTTCCGCCCAGTCGTGGCCAAAGTCACACTCGGGGAGGGAAACATTGGAACCCGAAACTCGCCCTCTGCATCATACCCAATGAGTACATTGACCAGCGCGGACACTTCACACATCGGAACTGTGATTTTGCAACATGTCAAACAAGTTTCCAGTGGCTTTTCGGTGGTTGTGTGCCGTAGAGTGCTGTTGGCCAGTGAGTCCCGGCCTAAAGTCCCAAAGCGACACGCCTCGGTGCAATATTGAGTCCCTGCATTTCACCACCTGAGTGGCTGGGATGATAATCCCGCACTCCGCGACGCTACAAGGAACCACCACGCATCGCCAGCATGGTAAGGATATTGCTCGGAGGAAGAGACGCAAGCTGTTGGATCAAGTGATGCCTCGTATTGTGCATTGTGACGATTGATCACATATCTCACTATGCCCCCCAATGTTGGCTGCCAATTTACGTATATGCCTGCTAGTGGTTGCTGGGCGACTGCAGATGCTGGACCTTCTTTGGGGGGAGCGGGATTCCCCAGTACTCGTCGGTGACTTTGCAGCTAAAGGCCAAGAGTCTTCGTCACCAAATGCTGACTGGCCATCCGACCTTGGACAGCTACGGACTTGCCCACAGAGAGAGAAGCGCTTTTGCTCTGGTCGGGTACCTGGCGGTACCGCGAGTAGGTCGTGGTTTTTTTACCGATAGGTGCGGCTAGGGCAAGACCAGCACCTCCCGACCAAGTTGAGTCGGAGCCGCTTTTCTTTTCCCGTAGACGCCCAATTATTGGGCTCGTGGGCGTGGGGTTCACTGCAGATCCTTACGTCTGTGCTTTCTGTGGGCTTGTTTCAATGCTAAAGAAACGGCCAGTGGCGGGGCTCGACGGCGGGCCCTCAGCGGTCAGGATAGTGGAAATTAAAGCGCTCGACCATGGCTCAGTCCTACACAGACAAATCAGCGAGCACGGAGTACTATGTGCGGGGAATAAGCTTTCAACCTTCCAACGGGACCCGCAATCGATGTTTCATCTCGGCCTTTTTGAACCGTCTTTGAAGGCCTGTTAGGGCCAGGAACCAAGGCTGTTATGGCCGAGACGATCCCACTTGGCCCACCTGCCCACCTGCCCACCTGTATACAGTGGCAATTGCACACAAAGCCGACATTTCTTGACCCAGATTTCCAGTTCTGGACTTCCAAAACGTAGGAGCACTCAAAGTCTGGTTGACCTTCAACACTTTGTGGTACACTACCACTGTATGGATATCTTCTCCGTAACTTAGGCCTCAGTTAGGTCACCCACGGAATGGGAGTCGGAATCGAGGGCTGGAACCTGCCCCGTAGAAACTCTCTGTTAACAGAACCCACATGCCGTATCAAACGAAACGAAACACAGCGTCGCGCCGTGGATGCTACCGCCTTTCACCTTTCAGACGAGTCAGGTAATCGAGTATCTGTGCAGCGGTCAGTGGGGCCCATATCGACATGTGTTGATTAAAGGTGAATCACTGGATGCTGAACCCTCACGATACCCCTGTTTCTCCCCCTGTTCCGAAGAGTTTGTTTCTGTTGGCGGCTGCTCAGTTACGAAATAAGAAACCATAGGATAATAGGATAGAGTGTTCATGATGTTGTGGAACCGCCATCTGAGGACTGCACCACACCAACCCATACGAATTCACTCTCTCGCCTGCGCTTATCAGCTACTGTACTCTACTGTACTCCGTACCTGATATATATTCAAACTCTCCCACCCACACATTTGTCCTCTTCTTTTTTTCTTCTTCTTCTTCTTACATCTCAACCTCCTTTGGCCAGAGATTGATATCGTTCTCTCTTTTTTATTCTTTACACTCCTTGTTGTTCATACGATCATTCATAGCCTGTGGCTACTGATAAAAAGTCCTATACATTCACATTCATTGACTGAATCCCACGATCCCGACGATTGCATATTCTAGAAACAACAACATTCAACTTTGCTCCTGATTTGATCCCAGTTGACTGGTTGATTTCTCGATACCACTGTCCTTTGCACAACTATACAACCCTGAACATACAACCCTCTTTAGCTGGCCAACACTGTTACCATCTACCAAACCGCACTCCTTCAAAGATGCGTTCAACCACCACCAGTGCCCTTGTGGCAGCTCTTCTCGCTATTGCTCCTGCTGATGCTTTCTGGCGTCTCCCCTGCAGAGCACCGCTTCTGTACGAACGTACCGATCCAATTGTCAACCCAGGCACTATCTCCGCTCACTCTCACACCATCATGGGAGGCAATGGGTTCAGCAACGACATGACCTATGCCGACACCCAATCTTCAACTTGCTCGTCTTGCACAGTTACCAAGGATTTCTCAAACTACTGGGTTCCCAACCTTTACTACAAGGGATCGGACGGCTCTTTCACCAGTGTCGATCAGGTCGGCGGAGCTCTGATCTACTATCTGTAAGTCAACAACCCCTCAGTTTGCGTTCTACAAATACTAATTACCAATTTATAGCCAGCGTGCCGATCCCTTGGACCCAGAGTACGACCAGGGCCTGCTCGCCTTCCCAGAAGGTTTCCGTATGCTGGCGGGAGATCCTATGCTCCGTTCCTTCACCAACACCCTGGAGCAACGTGCCATCAGCTTTGCCTGCCTTGGAACAGACACCAAGGAAACCAACGAGATCCCCAACATCAACTGCCCCAATGGTCTCCGTGCTCAAGTCTTCTTCCCCTCTTGCTGGGATGGCAAGAACCTCGATTCGCCCGACCACAAGTCCCACATGGCCTACCCTGATCGCGTCGACAACGGCGCATGCCCCCAGTCTCACCCCAAGCGCTTCATCTCCCTCTTCTACGAGGTAGTCTGGGATACCCCTAAGTTCGCCGACAATTTTATCGGTGGCAAACACCCCTTTGTCTTCTCCAACGGCGATGAGACTGGTTACGGATACCACGGAGATTTCGTCAACGGCTGGGACGTACCAACCCTTCAAAAGGCCGTCACCGAGTGCACCAACTTGAGCGGTGTTGTTGAGGACTGCCACGTCTTCCAATTCTTCGATGACGCGAAGGTCGATACTTGCAAGATCCAGCCGACTATCAGTGAGAAGGTTCAGGGCAAGCTCGCCGCTCTCCCAGGGTGCAACAGTCCTTCCGGAGAGGGCGCCAAGGTCGTCGCTTCTAAGGACTGCGCCATGAATGCTGCCGCTGTCGGCTCCGGCAACGGCACTGGCAGCACCGCCGACAAGAGCATTTCCAGCGCCTCTTCAGTTGCTTCAGCTTCCGCATCTAACGCCGCCACCTCATCCGCTTCTACCAGCCAGAGCTCCTCGGTGCCAGTCTCCAACCAGGCACCAGTCTCCAACAAGGCACCAGTCTCCAACAAGGCACCAGTCTCCAACAAGGCACCAGTCTCCAACAAGGCACCGGTCTCCAACAAGGCACTGGTCTCCAACGAGGTCCCAGCTGCCAACCAGAACAATGTGGGATCACCAGAGGTTGTCCAGACTGTCACCGTTTCCCCCGTCGCAGAGGTAAAGCCAACCGCAGTAGTCGACAACATCGCAAAGAACCAATGCGGCAGCGTCGTCACCGTCACCGTTGCCGAGGCCACCGTGACCGTTGCCGAGGCCACCGTGACCGTCACTCAAATGGGCCAGGCGCCTGCCACCAACGCCGCGGTTGTCGACGACTCTGTCAAGGGCGACTCTCCTAACGGATCCGTGCCCGTGGCCTCTGCTCCCCCAGTTGAGGACCAGCCAACTGCCTCTTCGGTTGTTCCAATCTTGCTCCCTAGCTCCACTGGAATCTACACCAACGGCACCAAGCACAACGGCCACGGCCACGGCCACGGACCCAAGCACCCCCACCAGAGGCCATCTGGCGGCTTCGCGCGTCCCACCGGTGCTCGCCACGCTGTCCACGCTGGCAAGGGCAACTAAGACACCCGTTGTCCTGTCTCCTCTCATCATCTTCCATTTTTAGGTGTGAGAGATGTATTTATACACTTCCACCGCCATGAGGGACGCCTCCTTGGGCCGACCCTTCTTCACCTCACTTCACTTCTTTCTGGGGGCATGTTCGAACCAGTGACCCTTTTGGGTATTCATTCGTTTATACAGCATAGGATATTTATATTTGGAGGATCGGGGTTTGGTTTTTTTTGGCGTCTCTCTCCTTACCGTACTTATTTTTTTCCGGCCTTGGATCTGCCAGGTTTTTTTGGTGGCTGGGGCTGGGTTACACTCGTTTGAGACGGGTGGGTGGTATATACACTTTTTTTTAGAGGATATGGGAGGAGCATTAGTTTGTATATTTATTTGGGGGTGGGGTGGCGGAGAAGTCGAGGGGGGTTGAGAGAGTTTGTTTATAGAACGATGAATGTCGATATACACTCGCTTTGTTACGAGATACTACTACTTATTGCCCTTGCCTCATAATTGTGATTGTGATATTGTGGTATGTGCCTGGAAATTAATTGGGGTGTGTAAAGCTTTAACTACCCTGAATGCACATCAGTTCAGCGCAAAAATGAAGCTAAATAATTAGTATTCATCGACGCCATCAAGTTCACAAAGATTCATTGATTGAAGGTCAGCCGTTCTTATTTGCTTTGCTCTTGCTAGCCACTTCCTGGCACATGAACAATAAATGCCCAGTAAGACCCAATCCAATACCCGCCAAACAATTCATGTATATACGCTCATAGAAAACGCCCCTTTCCCCTTTCCCCTTTCCCATCTCCCCTCATCCCCAAAATCAGTAAACAGGGTATCATTCCACCTCCATGATTATAGTAATCCCCAAAGCAAAACGCCCTCAAAGCACAATATCAAACTGATCCGGAGCCACCCCGTTAGGTATCCTCCCTGTTGCACCATCTCGATATCTAGTCATAGATTGTCGTTGGTCAGTCGTAATATTGATCGCGGAACTTGCTATCCGTCTTATTGTTCTTCGGTGCAAGCTCGTGCCACACTTCGATTCCAGCTTCTCGTGCCGCCTCAACCGCATCGTGGTAGCAGTTCGTGCAGTCCTTCATGTTGATAAACTTTGGCTTATTCTCGCGCTCGAAGAGCTCGCGCAGAGTAGATCCAGTGGCTTCGGTGCGGGATAAATCAACTTCTTTCAGGTTTGGAAACTGGCGCAGAACCGCAATGATAGTTTTTTCCGGGAGTCCGATACGCTCGCAGAATGAGAGGGCTTCCAGCGCCGCAGAAGGTGCAGGTAACATTCGGCTCCAGTCATTGTGGGTGTTGGTACGTATGGAACCGATGCAGCCTACTTTCAGTGTCTTGAGGGAGCCGGAGGTCAATCCAGGGTTAGCCATATCATTGACTATGGCAAAAAGGTCGCCACCTTCAACGCTGAGGTACTCTAGTTTCGACAACGGGACGACGAGCTTTTCATCGGTGTCAAACCTGTCTGAAATGATGCCGACATGCACCGCTTCTAGGTGGGTTAATGTGCTTGGGAACACAGGCATGGAATCAAATCGTGTCCCCGAAATATATAGGTACATTAGTTTTGTCCAGCTGGACATATCAACCACCTCGGGAACTGCCTCGTATGCCCAGCCTGTAATTGAAGCTGACTTCATATTTGGTGATGCCTTGACTAAGTCATTCTGTCCATGTGAGACTTTGCGCCGCTATGGGGGAGAAAATAAACTTACATATGCCAAACCTAGGCTTCTAGCTGGCCCTAAACGCATGCTCTTGAGGGCTATTGAAGATCGAAGAGCGATAAATTGGAGATTTGGCATTTCTGGCCAGGAGCATGGGCTATCACGTTCATATACCGCATGAAACTCAACATGTTCTAGATGAGTGTAATGGGCCATAATCCGCTTTACATCAGAAATATCCACCCAGCTTCCTGACGACACAAGCAGCATTTTGAGATATTGGGACGGGACCGGAAGCATCGCCGGGATATTTGCACCCAGAGAGGCAATACGCAACTCAAGCCGCTCTAGTTTGTTGCGGCGCTGGACCCGCTTGATATAATTGCGGCACTTGTCCCCATAATCATGTGAACTTATTACCGCACTACGCAGGCTATAGCCGCTGTGTTCGGCACGTTTTAACCACACCGTAAGTGCTGCTTCTGACATCTTATTGTTAAAAATCTTCAAATCCTGCCATAGCGGTGGGTATGATTCCATGGATTTCCTCCAACCCTTGGACACAGATAAGCAACAACTATGTCATATCAGAAACCGCAAAGAATTAAGGCATTGTGTTATATGAACCTACCCGCGAGACTTCAAATCTAGAAGACCCCATATCTCTTGAACAATCTCCTGCGGAAGTACTGGCAGGGGATCAAGACGATTATCTGCCCGTGATTGCCTCCTCAAGGTTTCGTAATGTTTAGACAGGATCTTATCATAGTTAGCTTCAGAGACTTCAACAGACAACAAGTGGGTGCATACCTTTCGATCTTCGTTGCCTACAGGTACCTTGTGAAGCCCACGTTCGAGAATCCCTAAAGCTTTATCGCGCTGCCCCATAAGTTGAACAATCTGACCACATCGCAAATACCCCTTACTGGTTAGCATGCTTCAGTAAAATTAGGGGTGAGTCTTGAGTCTTACCATGGCCATATCTGGCACACGCTTGATAATTTCACGGCCATCGCGTAGTGCTTGTTGAAACTTTTCTAATTTGATGTATACAAGGCTTCTCTTGTTCAGTATAGCTGGCACTAACTTTGGTGAAGAGGACTTGACAGCCTATATAATACACAGCGTCAGTTATCAATCGATACCACGTGACTAAAGTCTCCGACAAAAGCAACAGTTGCAGCAGGGCGACAACTGTATAAAGCGTACATCGGAAGTGAAGATATTGGACAGGAAACAGACAACCGCCAGACACAGGGTAGCATGAGCCGCGAAATAATGACTAAATTAAAAATAGACCTACCTTGTTGAAGTGTTCCAGAGCACCAAGATGGTCCCCTTTTTGGAAGCATTTGCTTCCAAGGGTATCATGATCCATGGTTGGAAGCAGTGCCGTTGACCATACAACTTTAGCTTTGATGCAACTGTTTATGTTATCTGCCCATGATTCACCAGAAAGTTTGAGAGAGTGATTTTGAGCGAGTGAGGTGTTGTGAAGTGAGATCAACAACCCGCGTACCGCGTAGAGTAGCGACGAGGGACGCGTTGGAGAGAGACTGCGGGATCTGTCGGCAAATCATTTATCCGAATAAACCTCCCAAGCAAGGCTATTATGTTCGTAGCCTCACTGAATTGGTTCACTTGCCTAAAGAGAAAAGGTTCGCCCAAGAGGTTTATGGATTAAAAAATCTTACTTATTAACCTGAACCTACTTGCGGCTCTGGCCCATTGTCTGCAGTATGACAAGCATCGACGAGCTTTTCAAGGTTTGTCCTCAGTTCAATGTTATTGGAGTAGTGAGTCTAACTTCACGCTCAGAAGCCAGCTATCCCAAGCCACAATAAGAGGAAGTTGGAAGCCATCCAAGACCCAAGTACATGCGATTCGGGAAAATAAACGCGTTCCTATGCTGACTGATAGCAGACGTCCACTACAAATCCCCAAAACTATCGACCAATGGCACCGCCAGCGGGAGGCCCCAAGATGGAGACAATGATGACGATGTAGAAGCCGGGCCATCGAGGCCTCCTGATGGCTATGATGAGGACTATGGCCCAGATATACCGGATGATGAAGATGGGCGCTTCTTTGGTGGCGGAATTACAAAAGACACGTCGGAGATATTGGACTACATGGAGGGGCAAGAGGATGCGAACGTTGCACCCGAGAAGATAGATATAGCATGGGTGAGGAAGCTGGCGCTCAATTTCGAGAAGCGGATATCAAAGAATGCAGAACTGAGAGTCAAGTTCGAGAACGACCCACAGAAGTTTATGGGGTCTGAGGCGGACTTGGACGCAGACGTCAAGGCCCTCTCGTTATTGGCAGAGCACCCCGAGCTATACCCCGAGTTCGCCAGGCTCGGCTGCGTCAGTTCCCTCGTCAGTTTACTCGCGCACGAGAACACCGACATCGCCATTGACGCCATCGAAATCATCAGCGAGCTCACCGACGAAGACGTCGAAGCCGATCCCTCGCAATGGAGCGCCGTAGTCGACGCCATGCTCGAATCCGGCCTCCTCGATCTCCTCACATCCAACCTCTCCCGCTTCGACGAATCCCACGATCCCGACCGCGCAGGTGTCTACCACGTTCTCAGCGTGCTCGAGAACCTCGCCTCGCAACCCACCCACGCCGAAACAATCGGCCAAGACCCCGCAGTCCTCAAATACCTCATCACTCGCATCCAGACCAAGGAGAACCCGACAACGCAGAATAAACAATACTCTGCCGAACTGCTTGCTATCCTCCTTCAATCCGCTGCCGCTACGCGCGCGCATCTCCTCACACTTAACGGCGTCGATACCCTACTCCAGCTGCTCGCTCCATACCGTAAGCGCGACCCCGCGCACGGCACAGAGGAGGAGGAGTTCATTGAGAACGTTTTTGACGCTTTGACATGTACCGTTGATGACGCAGCTGGGAAATCCGCATTCCTCGAAGCCGAGGGCGTAGAGCTGGCCCTCATCTTGGTGAAGGAGGGCAAGATGGCGCGGCCGCGCGCTTTGCGGATGCTAGACCACGCCCTTGCAGGCCAAGGGGCGGAAGCATGTGCGCGCCTCGTAGAGGGCGGAGGATTAAAAATCATATTTAGCGTCTTCATGAAGCGGGCAGATGGGTCGACTACGGAGCATCTGCTTGGGATCTTCGCGAGCATGCTCCGGTCGTTACCGGCGGATGAGGGGCCGCGAATCCGGACGCTGGCGAAGTTTGTGGAGGGGGACTATGGTAAGATTGCGCGGCTTGTGGGGATGAGGAGAGAGTTTGCGGGACGGGTGGGGGCGGTGGATGAGGTGATTAAGGAGGAGGCAAGGGGGCTGGATGAGGAGGAGAGGGAGGAGAGGGAGGGGGAGTGGCTGTCGCGGCGGTTGGATGCGGGGCTGTTTTGTTTGCAGACAGTGGATGTCATATTGGCGTGGTTAGTGGCGGAGGATCAGGGGGCCGAGAGGAAGATTAAGGAGTTGTTGGCGGAGAGGGATGAGGGGTTGAGTGTGTTGGGGGGTACGATTAAAGGTATGTGATATGTGTTTCCGCGGTATCTGGATGAGGCTAAAATTCTCTAGAACAACTGGATACTACGGGCGAGCTGGAGACGGATGAGCAGAGGACAACTAATGATATGCTGAAGACACTGCTGCAGTTTGTGGCGTAAGTAGCAGGTAGCCTGCACCTCAATCCAATATATATACTATATTTTACAACATCAAACATCAGACCTACATTTATAGGCTCATTTCATTACGTGATCTAAGAAATCAAGTGTACTAGTACGTCATATCCGCTCAACCCAGCAACTATAAATACGGTATATTCTGGTCTCTACCAAGTTTCATATAATATACACAGTAATAATCAAACATCTTGAATTTACTCACCCTTCACATATGTATGTATTAGCTGCACGCTCTGCAGGCGATAGCACCTACAACTATTTTCTCAAATTGACAAATTGCTCACAACTTTTCCCCTAGACCCTTAAGGCTCTACTTCTAGTCAATTACGCATTATAACTCCCTAGGTGGTAATAGAGGCCTCAACTCCCTAATGGCTAGATTAAGGCCCCTAAGACAGCGCTTTTACTGCCCCTAGGAACCATAATCACCATCTAACCTCAACCACACTTCTAAGAGATAGTAGAGGACACTTAGTACTAATACTATGCCTCCTCCCCGCCTTAGCTTAGGTGAAAGCACACCTAACAGTCACGAAGTAACAGCAGCCATTAGTGGCCAACTTGATGCTATTAAAAGGGAAGCTAAGATATAGCGCATAGTTATGTATGATTTCGCTAGCATAGTAGACAAGTTTGTGTCCTCCTATAAGCTCCTAGAGCAGTGCACTTTCGCCCACAACCTTTGTAACAAGGTAGTTAGCTTTCTCACTACCTCTCTATATGTAGAAACTTCCAACTATGCCCCTATCCACCTTAGAAGCCAGGCCTTACTAGCAGCTACCTCTCTCTATAGGGCTGAAATCAGTTAGCTAGGCGGATGTGGCTAAGACCCTGAAAAACCCAGGGGCTTCTCTTTAGGGAGCTAGGGTCCCTAGCTCATCTGTTTTAGCAGCAGATTAGCTAATGTAATCTCCTACGCCACAGGCTCTAGCCATAGCTATAGGACTGCTCAAAGCAGGACATAGACTCCTTATTATAGTAGAGCAGGGTGCTCTACTCTAGTGACCTAACCCTTCACACTACACTAGGAACTTAGCACCAAAATCACCAGCCTCACCCTAGCCTTAGTCCTAACTATTGCCCCTACACGCATAGGATAGGCTCTAGCAGATCTAGCTACCTAGGACCTTCTTATAGACTAGGAGAATTCAGAAACCATCCTTTGCATTTTTAAAGCAACAGCAATTAAACAACTAGAGACCTAGCACAACTATGTAGTCCTAGGTTTCCCTAGCACTATCCACTAGCTTATAGGTGACACACTCACTAACACTGTAGAGTTGGTTAGGAAGGAAGTCTAGGCCTAGGCAAAACAGAGGCCTATAACCAACCCTCCTAACATAGGGCAAGCCTATAGATGTAAGGATGCCTCCTTACTCAGGGTAGTTACGGCCGTCACGTGGCGCCATCGAGACTCGGGGCCGTTACGGGTCAGTCGCGACTGACAGCCTTAGGCACATAACGTAAGGAAGCCTTAGGCAAACAGGGAGCTAGCTGAGTCGGAGCAGTTTCGGGTATTTTAAGGGAACAGCCATACAGGGTGACACCTTCATCTTTTTTGTATCCTTCGTAGTAGACCTATAGGATAGAATACAGCATCACCTCCGACTCGCACTCCCATATGCACCTACGGAGAGCCGTATTCCCTGTGTCCTTACATTATACAAAAAAGATCACGCCTGCCAGGGACGGCCGTACTTAAATAATATCCCACAACGGAACGACTCAGGAGAACTGTCGAAACACCACCGACCGCGACTCAGTGACATTTCGAAGTAGAGACCTGACGACTTCAAATAGCCGTGACCCCAGAGAACTCACGGACAACCAGTGGATCAGGGTTTGATCCTGCAGAGCAAGCTGGTAAAGTCGCCGACGCGTTGGCGCCGAATAGGATACGAGATCCTTAAGAACCCCCTCAAGCACAGAGGCAATTGTGAACAAGAGTGTTGATAGCTACGAGCTACCGGAAGTCAAACTCTTTCGTATCGACACCGATACACTCCCGAACCAATATGAGGAAAATGACCTCAAACATCCCCCAAGACAATGATGGTCAACCGTCACGAATGTCAACGAGACAAACCACCGCTGCAGCTACGACCGCTGCACCCACCGATGACATACCAGATCGAATGGCAAACCTCGAGATCCAGATGCAAGAGATCAAGGAAATGATAGCCAACCTAGCGGCAACCCAGACCAGAATACCGTCCACGCCACAGGTGGACACCGTCGAAGTTGAGGAGCGACGAACTTCCCCTATGCGAAACACCCCCGAGACAGTTCAGTTGCCGCCTCTTCGAAACACTCGTTCTCCATCGATTCCGAGGATGTATTCCGAAGACCCTCCGAATCGCTACAAGAAATCCACCATCTCTGAGAAGATTACGCCGCTCAGCGATGGGATAGAACATACCTTTATGCAATGGAGCGCGTCCATTCGGGACCGCCTCGTAGTCAATGAGGATCACTACCCTACCGACGTCTCGAGAAGAGCGTTGATATGGGGGACTACGACTGGCCTGGCAAAGAAATACCTCGAACCCCAATACCTATCCGCGACACATGGGTTTCGGAGTGCCGACGAGATGATGGACCTGTTGGGTTCATATTACCTCACTGGCAACGAAACGGAACAGGCCCGGAACCTCTTCGACGACCTCCAAATGGGAGAGAAAGGACATACCAACGAGACTTTCTCAGAGTTCAAAGCTCGCTTCCAAAGTGCAGCTATTACGGGACAGGTCACAGAGTCGGAATGGTTTCGGTACATGTGGAACAAGTTGACCCCTCAATTCCATAGCCGCGTAGCGGTTATCAAAAGTCAATGGAAGGGAGACTACCACACTATGGTCCGAGAACTCACCGCCTTCGATCAGGAGTGACGCCGGAACAACGAGCTAAGCTTCCCGTCCAAGAGCGGCGAGTCGAGCTCCCGAGGACCCGCTCGTCTGAGCTCATCTAGGTTCACACCCGCTGAGCCCGGAAGAACCCAACCGCCGAGGCCTACAAGAAGCCCTCTGGTCTCCTTCCAGAGGACTCCTTTTACGCCCACGGCCCCCAAGCCGGACATTACAGGCCGCGTGCGGACCGCCGTGCCGGCTACGTCCGGGAACTGTTTCAAGTGCGGCAAGCCGGGCCATTTCCAAGACAAATGCCCGCTCAACCCCACCGTCAAGGAGATTGACCGCGAAGCCCCTGAGGATGAAGAGCAGTGGGAGGAAGCAGTCGCCCACCAGTCGGATGCGTCCCTGGAGGAAAACGACGAGGCCTAGGGAAAGGCTCCTTCCTAGGTCTACGCAAATGTGATCTGCAAGGACTGGATTTACGAGAGCTCTTGGGAGGCTCCCAATTTCTCGTTGATACAACCCTGAGTATGAACGGACTCGGGGTGCAAACGAAGTCACTCGCAGACACAGGAGCAAATGGCTACCTCGTCATTAATAAGCTTTTCGCGCAACGGTTGTCGAAAGCGCTTCAGAGCCCCTACGGAAACTGCCCTACTCTGTACCCATACGTGGATTTCAGCGAAATATCCAAAGCTACGTATCGGAGTATATTCGGTTACACTTGACAGTCGAAGGACGCCGAATATATAACTGCCCCTTTGTGCTCCTAGATCTCGGAGCGCAAGATGTGATAATTGGGAAGAAGCTTTTTAGCCGCTTCCGAATCCTACTCGACTCTGCAAAGAGCCTGCTAGTATGGCCAAAGGAGTACCCGCCTACTCCTAGCTGGAGCAAAGAGATCACCTTGCCCTACCACTCGCGTGAACTGTCTATACGTCACCCCGCCCATCAATCGGATGCGAACCGGCGGGACGATGCCATCGACCATGACGACAGACGACGTGAGGGCGGATGCTCGATACCAATGAAAGTGATAACGGCCCATCGTGACGCTATTATGATTACCCCACCGAGCCCGGTGCGAGACGAGGGAACGACCCACCCGCACCCCAAAACCCCAAGGACACGAGCCTCGCCCGTGGAAACCTATAAAGACGGACCCTTAGGGCAAGTGGAGGCGAAACCTCCAAGAAACGGACCATCCGCATATGAGAGAAAGAATCATGGGAGGAGCGGAGTCTTCTCTCTTTCCCGACGCCAGACCCTGGTACGCAGCTTCACGCCGGTCCAAATTTGCGAGATTGGCGCAAACGCTTTCCACTATGAGATGATGCGAAGCGACTCCGAGTTCTTTACGACAAGCATCTACGAGATCGACCAGATCATCCGAGAGAGGGAAGCGGCCGAGGACGAGGAAACGCTCCGCCTCATTCGGGACAAGCTTCCGCATATGCACCGCAACTATTCCGATGTCTTCTCGAAGTCGGAATCTGATCAGCTTCCCCCGCATCGCATATACGATCACAAGATACAACTAGAAGCCCCTTTACCAAATGCCTTTTCGCCACTATACCGACAAAGCACCGAAGAGCTTAAGGCGACTAAGCAATACCTATTAGAGAACCTCGAGAAGGGCTTTATAGTCAATAGCAATAGCCCGTTTGCCTCCCCTATACTGTTCGTGAAGAAGGCAGATGGCAAACTGAGATTTTGTATCGACTACCGGAAGTTGAACGGACTTACCCGTAACGACCCCTACCCTATCCCGCGTATCGACGAACTACTAGGACGGGTGTCGAAAGCAAAAATCTTCACGAAGCTAGACATTAGGCAAGCCTTCCATCGTATACGAATGGACCCCGACTCCGAGGAGTACACGACCTTCCGGACTCGGTATGGATCCTACAAATGCAAAGTGCTGCCGTTTGGCCTAACGAACGGCCCCGCAACCTATCAGAGGTATATGAACGACGTTCTTATGCAATACTTGGACGACTTCTGTACTGCCTACCTAGACGACATCCTAATCTACTCCGAGGACCCCGCGGAACACATGGACCACGTACATAAGGTCCTCCAACGGCTTCGAGAAGCAGGACTACAAGCCGACATTAAGAAATGCGAGTTCAACGTAACCCGGACAAAGTATTTAGGCTATATCCTGACTACTACCAGTGTCGAAGCGGATCCCGAGA